CTATAAAATAAATATAAATTCACATCAATCAGAATCATTTCTCAGGATTGAGAGTAATAAAAGTGCAATACAAATTTCATCAACCCTCATCATTGCCCCACAATTATTAAAACTATTACAATAATTTGGAGCACTAAATAATGTTAATACATTTTTATTAAAACAAAATTTAAATCCCTCTTCTACTACTTGATGTGCACGACATAATAATTCAATACCATTTCTTTTTAAAAATTCTAAAGCAACATCTGGCCCAAATGTATATGATACTCCTCTCATATTTTCTTCCCATCCAAAAGTATCAGTTGATGGATCTGCCCATAAAATATCACACAATAATCCTTCTTCTGGAATATCAGTTGGTCGTGCAATTTGTGTTAAACAAGAAACATCTTGCATATCTTTACTTAACCCTCCATGTAAACAAAGTATTTTACCTTCGATTAATGCACTAACTGGAAGATATCTAAAAACTTCACAAAAATTTCTCCATGTATCAACATCAAATCTTCTTTTACCTACAAACTGATTACTAATCACTACTCAATCTTCTTGAATCATGAAAAATTAATAAAACTTTAACAAACATTCATCAAAAAAACCATATAAATGGTTAATATTCTTCGCCTCATGATTCCCTCGTAATAAGAAAAATCTATCAGGATATTTTACTTTTAAAGCAAATACTAATACAACAATTTCTATTGATCGAAATCCTCTATCTACATAATCACCAAGAAATAAATATCTATCTTGATCAATTTTTGTTTCATCAAAGTATCTAAGTAAGTCCGTAAATTGTCCATGCAAATCTCCAATAACATATATCGGTGCTTTTAATTGAAGTAAACTAGGTTCTTGTGCAATAACTCTAATTGCCATAGAACATAGTGATTTTATTTCATTTGCTTTAATAAATTCTTTTCCTGGAAATAATGATCTTTCTTGGAAACATTTTGAAATGATTGCATCAAGGCGTTCTGGAGATAAGTCTTGCATTGATTTTCAGTTCGTTCTATTTTTTCTCTTTTCTTTTTTCATTGTAAATATAACATTTTTCTTTATTCTCTTTTTTTTTTTTAATTTTATGTTTTAGGTTTTAGGTTTGATATAAATTTTTGTTTTTTAATTTAAAAATTATGTTATTTTTATATAATTTAAATATAAATAATTCATCTCCTTATTTGATAATTGTCTTTTCATATGTCTAGCTTCCCAAAAAATCCGTCCACAAATTTAAATTCATTTGGATTCGCTCGATTGTTAACGATGGCATATGGCAAATTTGAAGAAAAACATTGGAAAAGAAAATGCCCATTAACAACAGCAGCACTTCAAGCTGTTTACCTTGGATCAAAAACACAAAATAAATTTCAACTTGAGTTTGTATTAAAAGGGTTATATTTAAATGCGAATCCAGTGACAGCAATATTATATTTAGTGTTATTAAATCAATACATTGAAACTAATTCAATTCCTCCTAAATTTTTATCGAGTGAAGGAAAAATTAAGAAATCATTTCTTTCAGAAAATCAATCAATCAATCTTATTTACGCATCAAAACAAGAACAAAAAATTGATAAAGAAATTAAAATGACACAAGAAAAGAATTTTTATTGTGACCATAAATCTCAAAAATTAATGAAAAAGATTGGAAGATGTTGTTTACATTTGATGAGACCAGATGAAAAGGCAACAATAAAAAATGATCTTGATTGTTTACTTAAAATGGTATTAATTGATTCAGTAAAATTTTTTCCTCATCAATACCAATCTAAAGAAGTTCAAAATCATCTTCACCAATTTAAGTTATTAAATAATATTATTGATTATGTTAATAAACATTATTGTTGTGAATGTAAAAAAAGAAAAGAATATTTAAAAATGGTTATTGTTCATTTTATTAAACGACCTATCTTTTTTAATTATTTTACATCAAGTCAAATGAATGATTTTATGAAAATATTTTTTGTTGAATGTAAATGTAAAAATACTTCATCACTTCCACCAAACTTTCCATTTATTTGTCC